CTCTTTCCGAAGGTTGTGGGCCTACTGGCAGGCGCAGGCGCGACCACGGGAGCCTCACCCTCCTCCTCACCTGACGCTTCCAGCTCCACATCCCCGTCGCGTTCGCCCTTCCAAGCCCCACCCTGAACCTCAAACACGTCCGTTGAGTCGTCCCCGACCCCGACTCCACCGTGACCACGACTTCCAGCCACATCAGTCGACATCTCGCGCTTGCCAGTTGGATCGTGTCCTCCAGCACCCTTTCCGGCGGTAACCTCTCCATCATCGTCACCAACGCGGACCGGCCCTCAAGTGAGCGCGAGTAACCCGTGATCTGCAACCTGCGAACCCTCGGCCTGCTGCATCTTCCCCGCATCACTGCCGTGAGCATCACCTCCTTGCTTGGGAAGACTCATCTTGACGCTCAAATTGAACGCGAGCTCCTCAGCCGTGCGGTACGCCTCGTGATGCAATGCGTTCAGGGTCCGGACGTGAGGCCTCTGATATTGCGGCCCATACTCTTGGGCAGCCACCTCGTCAAGGTCCTGGACGATCGTTTCAAACATGTACATGCTCGTGAGGCTGCCGCATAAGCCCTTCCACAAGGCCGCGTCCTGAAAAAAAAAAAACGCGATCTGTGTTAGAGCTCGCGATGAGTAACACGGTCAGCACGAACAAGTGAATAAATGAGCGCTTACCAGATCCAGGAGACGAGTAGGACCACCTAGCTGCCAGGACCTCTTGCACTGAATGGAGTCCTGCGTGAGCGCCTTGTGAACGCGACCCTGAAACCACCTGCACATTGTCGAGGTAGACACGTGAAAAAGGGGCTTGACATGGTACATGGTCAACACAGGAAACCAGAACGCGATACGTACTCGACAATCTTATCCGTCGCGTCAAGATGCTCCTCACCACCGGGTGGTACAGCAACGCAGAAAAACCGCGTATCCCATACATCATCACTGCCAATCGACAGGTGGTCTGGGCGAAGGAGCAGGAGCATGCTCGCGTTGGAGCCCGTCTTGTCGCCCAAGTTCCTGCAGTGTTGAACAATGACCGCGTTAACACGCGCTGTCTAGAAAGCATGCTCGGGCCGTAGACGAGATACTCACTCGGACCAGATGCAAACGACAACCATACTGCACTCCATCATGCCGGCGAAAGCGTTGACCGCGTCATCACCACCCACAACAATGTCCGCGACAACGTTGGTCTTCACTATCTTGGTGCGCTCAAAAAACTCATGTGACAGAGACTTTCGGACAACCATGCTGTGCGAGTAAAACACGAGCGAATTGTGAACATGACCACATTTTTTAATCGGAAAGGAATGCGAGCATACTTCCACACGGCCGTGGTACTCACATCACGACGTAGCGGTCGTATGCATACACTGCAACTATGCATACACTGCAACTATGCATATACTACATGATCGTAAAATTCGCGTGGAGATGAGACGAAATAGGGTCTGACGCGACCATACCAGGTGACGAAGTCGAAGAAGGGGGCCGTAAACTGATGCTTATCATCGGACAGGCACCTCCACTAGTCCGGGACAAGCTCCACGGTGGCGCCCGCGACAGAGATTATAGCCAAAAAGGACGCGGCCGCTTTAGAACTGGATCTCAACGCCTTCAGCTCGCGAGCCATGACGGGCCTGCCTTCTAGTTTGATCAGAGGGGCGGTGAAGCGAGGACAACTAACTGCGAAGTCCTACAGTGCGAACGCGGTACTACTGGTACTGCAGGCTACACGCGAGCTAACACGGGCACAAGAGGGTCAAGAGGCTAGGTGGGGGCGGAGAGCTGAAACAAAGAATAGATCTGAAGTTGGAGGATGAAAATGAGCACCAGCAACCCTGGACGAGAACCTAAGAGGGGGCTGGAGTGCAGCAGGAATGGGGTCGCGCGGTTACCTTGCGCATGCATGGGAACCCGCGGAACCCGTTCGGGCCTGTCAAGGGGGACGCCCCCCCCGTCATGCATGCGAGAGTAACCACGTCCCGCCAGGTAGCACGCGACCCGCGAACACCATGCACAAGGTGGTTACCACCGCGCGGGGGCGTATTCCTCGTCGCGTCCGCCGAAAATCCGAGGTTTCGGGCCAAACCACCCCAAAATTATACACTCGTTAAGGTGGAGTCATGTAACACAGTCATATAAAACATCACCCAGTATAAATAATCACGGCGCACTGCACGATTTTATCGGAGGCAAAATTACAAATATCACAGTACCGTACAACTGCATACGGTATGGAAATCGATACAGATATATACAGTACGGAAATTGATGTCAAATTATATGTTTACTGCTATCTAGGCTGTAGTGGGTTTAGCCTTAGGGGGTACTGTAAGTTGCTCGACACTTCATTGTATCCCACTCCTTGCCCTAATCCATCTCATTCCTTCCTACCTATCTCAACAATTGATTCAACAATATCGTCACAATAACACACTATTGTTTCTAAGTTATAACATCTTTCAAATTGTACAGTTGGGAAATCGATTTCTAGTGCCGGGCAACTTTTTCCGGCGCGTGTGCGAGGGATTTCGCACGGGGCCTTCGAACCAACTCGACTCCGATTGGCCGGATCCGTTTCGGCGCGCACGGGGCTCGCTTCGCACACCGCGGATTGGTTCGCGAGTGGATTCTGAATGCGAAGGGTTTCGCGAGGGCCCCTCGCGAGCCAGGGCTGGGTTTCGGGGGACATCCGGGTGTGGTCCCGGGCTGCGTGGCGCAGACGTGGCCTGGACTTGGCGCGGGGACAGTTCGCTAGCTGACTCCGTCGCCCGGATCTCGCTAGGGACTTGCATGCGGGCGGGGCACTCTTGCTCGCGTGCAATGCCCAGCTGGGGGTCGCGACACACGGTGCATCCGCGTGCGAGCCCGGTGGAAACCAACCCACCAGGGCCTGGATGGACTGACCATGATCAAGCTAGATTGCCCCACAAAGCCATCCAGGAAAATAGTTAGGTTGGACGCGGCTTCATAAGGTGCATTCAAGTTTAGCAAGGTTTCATTCCGGTAATTAGTCGCTAGATCTTGAACGTTACCACGTCCCTAGGTATTGTCGTGCCACCCCTCCCTCCTTGCAATCGTTGTTGTCAGTGCACAAACCCTCACTCTCGTTGACTACTAACCCTTTCGGATAATGTGACTTGGTGTAATTGAAATGATTGGTTGGATTTAGAGAATAACTTACTTAGAACTCTCTGCAGATGAAACACTGCCGCATCCCCCGCCGCGAACTGCGGGTTCATTTAGGGGCCACGTGTCAACTCTGTGTCACAATTTTCCTACGGATCACGTTTCTCCTCTATCTCGTAGCCTTTGTTCGTGTTGCTGACAGTCTCGTGGACTACCATAGACTAACGAATCCAAGTAATGGGATCCGCTATTGCCGTTCCTTCGAGATTTTCGGTTTCCTTCCATTTTACCCCCTCTTCTTTGGCCGTCACAGGTGAAACGTCAAACCTCCTCGCAAACCCAAGCTTCGATACAAGCTGTCTCGATATAGGATGGCGTCGCAAGAACCTGAACGTGTCGTGCCAACCATGGACGTACTTATTTCCGTTGGGCACGTCAAATCCTGGGAAAACATACTTGAACGACCAGGTCTTAGCCACCGCATTTGGCGGCGGAAAGCGCGGGCCATTCCTTGCGCCGCCAGATGCTGCGACACTAGCAGAAGCAATTGCGACAGCAGGAGGGGCTGCGGCGTCACCTGCTGACGTGTCAATCAGGAACGGGGTCATGGGAGTCACGGACACCCTGCTGGCAGCCGACGGGTCCCGCTTTTTACAGCTGACTTCCGCTTTTTCCGCGTCGTCTAGCAGCGGTAGTAGCAATAGTACTAGCAGCGCGTATGGCGGCGCAGGCGTATCGCAAGCGCTGTGCGAACTCAAACACGCGGCGCTGACCAGCAACGCGCCGCGGCAAGCGCAGCGGCAGCAGTCCCCGCGCCAGCTGCCCCTCACGTTCTTTGCGCGCGCCAGCCTGTGTGCGGAAGGGGGGCCGGAAGGGAGGCGGAGCGGCTGTTGAAGGTGCTGCTGTTGGCTGTTCCGCTCAACGCTTCCGCCGCCGCAGCAGCAGGGGGAGGGGCGGCAGCAGGCAGAGAAGCAGCAGCAGGGGGAGGGGCGGAGGAAGGAGGAGCGGGGGCGCAGGTGTGGGGGGAGTGGCAGGTGGGAGTGCCGTGTGGGAAGAGCATTGCGAGTTTGTCCGGCGCCTTGCCTTGGTTCCAAGTGGGACCCCTCCTCTTCCCCCTCCCTGACCCCCTGGGTTCCTCCTCCTCTTCTTCCTCCTCTTCTTCCTCCTCCTTTTCTTCCTCCGCCTCTTCCCCTTCTTCATTGGTAGTGCCTCGGGGTGGAGTGGCGCTGCATTTGGTGATTCGAGGTTTGCAAGGCAGTGGCAGCAACAGCAGCAGTACCAGCAGCAACAGCAGCAGCACCAGCAGTAGCAGCAATAGCAGCAGCACCAGCAGTAGCAGCAATGGCAGAAGCACCAGCAGTAGCAGCAATAGCAGCAGCACCAGCAGTAGCAGCAACAGCAGTGACACCAGCAGTAGCAGCAGCAACAACAACAGCAGTAGCAGCACTAGCAGTAGCAGCGATACCAACAGCACCAGCAGCACCGGCAGCGGCAGCGGCAGCAGCAGCAGCAGCACCATCAGCAGCACTACCAACATCTCCCCCATAGTCAGCATTGGTGGAAGCACTAGTATTGACAGCAGTAGCATCGTCATCAGAAGCAGTAGCAGCGGTACTAGCAGCAGCGGCTGTGTTGCTGACAGCACAACGGATTCACCATCACGAGCACCTCCTCTGGCCTCCTAATTAAATCAGCGTCGCACCCACACCCCTCCCTGAAAAGCCCTATCCGGTTCCCCAGACTAAACCTGTCTGGAGTAAGGGCCTGTGGGTCACGACGGTCTGGGACCCTTGGGTTGATTAGGACTGCAGGAGCAGAAAAACAGCAGCAGTAGCAGCAGCACCGGCAGTGCAAGCAGCCGGGGGGATGGCAGCAGGAAATGCGGTGTCTGTATCCCCCAGTGTGGCAGTAGCAGCGGAGGGTGTGGGGGAAAGACCAGCACAAGCAGCAGCACGGGATTTGGGGTCTGCTTCCCCTAGTGAGGCGGTAGCAGCGGTGCAAACAGCTGCTGGGATAGCATCAGGTGGTGCTGGTCCTTTGTCCCATACTGCTCCAGCAGCAGACGGTGTGGGGGATATACCAGCAGCAGCAGCAGCAGCAGCATTCGGAGTTACTGGGAATGCGGGAGGAGCAGGAGGAGCAGAGCCGGCAATGTCAAGGAGATTGGGAGTGGCGTCGGAGTCAGAAAGCATGGCCATTGACCTTGTGTCTGTCATGCCCACTCGTAATGAGTGAGAGGCAGCAATGAGTGAAAGAGGCAAGGCGAATTGACCTCACAGTGAGTGAGATATTCAATGCTTGAGTCGACTCAAAACTCGCCCCAACTTCAACGTTGCCCCGTTTCCCTGCAGCCAACCCCTCCCCTCTCAAGTCTTTCTCCCACTGGCCGCTCTCCAGTGCCCACCCGCTCCTCACAGCTGGCTCAGCGCGTTGCAACCCCTCCTCTCTCTCCCTCACCACCCTCTCCGACCTCGACACTGCTGCTCTCGCGCTGCACCCCACCCCCTTCGCCCTGCTCGCCCCCGCCACGCCCTCCTCCCCCTGCCGCCTCTTCTCCTTCTCCACCTCCTTCACCTTCCGCATCTCCTCCCCCAACGCCGCCGGGCTGGGCGGCGAGGGCTTGGCGTTTGCGATGCTGCCGTCTCCTACCCTTGGCTTGCCGGGGCCCTCCCTGGGCTATGGCCGCCTGCTGCTGCCACCGGGGAGTACGACTGGTGCTGATAATGCCAGTGACGTGTCATCTCAAGTACATGTCATATCAGTTATGTGTCATCTCAGGTACGTGTCATCTCAGGTACGTGTCATCTCCGGTACGTGTCATCTCAGGTATGTGTCATCTCAGGAACAAGCTCCTTGGCATTTCGCATCGTAACTCCCAATGCCGCGAGGCTAGGCATGCGGGGAGGAGGGCATGGCGTTGTGTGGTAATTTGTTTTCTTCGCCCTCGTTAGCTCTGCTGGCAGGGGGTATATGGTCATCTGCTCAAACTCTTCCATCTCCCGCCTTCCATCTTTAGAGTTAGTTTTCCAATGGTCTCAATATGCTCGTCTTTCTCTCTTGTGCTGCTGTTTTGCTCTCTTGCTATTCTCTTTCTCTTCTGCTTCTCTCCCCCTCCCATCCTAGCAGCACAGGAGCCTAGCAGTGGAGTTTGACACGTCCTCTTCCCCTGAATTCTTCGACCGGCCTGACCACCATGTGGGGGTGAACCTGCACGGCAGCATGCTCTCTCTCGCCTCTGCCCCCATGCACCCCCTCGGCATTCCCTCCCTCAACGCCGGCCAGACCCTCCTCGCCACCATCCAGTACAACGCCTCCTCCTCCCACCTCACCGTCTGGCTCTCCCCTACTCCCTCCTCTTCTGCCTCTTCCTTCTCCCGCTCTTCCTCCTCTCCCGCCTCTTCCTCTCGCACCTCTTCCTCTCGCTCCCTTGGTTTTCCTCGCTTTCTTCGTTTCCCGCGCTCTTCCCGCTCTTCCTCCTTTTCCTCCTCCTCAGCCTCCTCCCAATCCGCTCCCCCTCTCCCGCACTCGGCCGTGGTGACCACATTCCTGGACACCTGCGAGTGGCTGGGGGGGAACGACCCGGAGGCAGCAGCGCCCCCCCCCGCCGCTGTTTGTGGGATTCACAGCGGCCACCGGCAAGGGGGCAGAGCAGGCTCAGGCGCACGAGGTGCTAGGGTGGACCTTCCAAGTCGGGGAGGGTGAGTTGTTTGGGAGTGACCTTTTGAGGTGCTGGGGTGGAGGTTTGACATCGGGGAGGGTGAGTTGTTTGAGTGACCTTAAGAGGTGCTGGGGTGGAGGTTTGAAACAGGGGAGGGTGAGTTGTTGGGAAATTTCTTGATAATCATACAGCCGTGGGAAGGGATGGGATGGGATAGGGGGCGGAGCAGGTTCAGGCAAACAAGGTGCTTATGTGGAAATTCCAATTCGGGGAGGGTGAGTTTGAGTCGAGTGCCCTCGTCCCTGTTCTTGGATCGTTTCGTGTGTTTCTCGACACATGCAAGTGGGCCGGGGTGAATGAGTTGTCATACGTCCAGCACAAAGGATGCCCGATTGATCCTAGGGAATTTACAAGCTTGCTACCCTTGGGGGTTATGGGCGCACTGACCCGCTACTTAACAAGCCCTTCTTATCCCATTAGTTAGTGGCTGGGATTCTGACATGGTATCAGAGCGAAAGTTTTGGGTTCGAATCCTCATGTATGCACATGTTTGCGCTTTCCTCTGTGTCTTTTCCTAGGACTTTCCTATGAGAGGGGGTGTCAGAAGACCAGCACTGGGGAGTGCGCTTTCCACTCACTGATCCAGCACTGCATTATTTCCCTGCATTTTTTTTTCACTACCCTTCCTCACTGTCTTTGCCCTCCGTCACTTTTTCTGAACTGAAACCCCTCCCTTCCGCCCTCTCTCCTTATACCTTACCGTGTCAACTCCCCCCTCCTTCCCCCCTCCACCTCGTCTCATATACCATGCCAACCTCAGCAGCGGAGGATCCGCTTCCGTTTTGGGCGGCAGACTCGTTCTCCTTCCCCTACATCATGCCAGCCACTCCCCTGCTGACACATGGCAGCACACGGAAGCGTTTCTTCGCCGCCGACCTCTCTATCTCTGCTGACGTAGCATCTTCCACCCACACCGGCCAATCAGATGAGCCCGCCCTTGGAGCCCTCTTCTTCCCTCGTCGTCTCCCTCTTCTGTACTCCTCGTCCTCCCCTCCCTTCCCTCCTCCCTTCCCTCCTCCTCCCTTTCCTCCTCGCAGCTCCCCCCGTTACTCTCCTTCCTCATTATTTCCCCAACCCACAGCAATCGAACCCCCAACCTGCAAGGCTCGCTCCTTCACCTTCACATACGGCTTTTCCATTAATACATCCGCTTCCCATGGGCTCGCGTTCGTCATAAGCACACATGCAAACCTGGGCCTAAGCGGGGCTTATATGGGGTATGGCCGGGACCCATCCTCGCGACTCGCTAATGGCAGCTGGCCTGACAGCGCTCGGAGTGTAGCTGTCAAGTGGGACACTGTAGCAGACCCAGAAACAGGCTATATAAATGATATAAATAATATTAATAATACTAGTAATATTGATAATATCAATAATATAAATAACATACGCATTGGCATCAATACCGATTTCAACATGACCTCGGTTTCCGCTAAGAAGGTGTTAGATGCTATGGAGCCTGGGGAGGTGTGGCAGATGAGGGTTGACTATAACGGGAGCAGGAAGGAGATGCTGATCAGATGGTACCGCCCTCCTGCATTACGAGGCAGTATGAATGTCTCTTTTGACCTGTGTGCCGGCCTTACTGGGGCCTCTGTTGACTCCAGCGGAAGCAGCAGCAGTGGTGGCGGCAACAGCAGCAGCAGTGGCGGCGGCGACAGCAGCAGCAGTGGCAGTGACAGCAGCAGTGTGACGGACCTATCGTCGCCATCCTTTGGGCATCTGTTCGTTGGGTTCACCGGCGGTGCTCTCCCTCCCCCCTCTGGCTGCGTGCCTTCCCCCGTCGCCCTCTCCTCCTGGACCTTCCGATTCACAGGTATTGAGTAGGGGAGAGTGGGAAAAGGGGGGAGGACGAGGGGGTAAAGAGAGGGAGTCAGGGAGAAGGGGAAGGGTTGAGGGGATGAAGGGGAAAAGCGGTGACTTCAGGGAGAGAGGTCACCACAAGGCTGGAGTCCTGGCCTTCCGATTTGCGGGAGGGAATGGGGAAAGGAGAGTCCTCGATCTTGTGTTGGTCTCAACTCAAGGTGTTTACACACCCCTTCACCCCCCTTGCATCCTCTCCTCTCACATGTTCCACCATCCCCTCACACCCACTCACACCACTTACATCCCACTATGCCCACCTGTGCCTCTTGTTCTCTTTGTGCCCCTTAATGCCCCCAGTATGTCCCTCAATCCCCCCCATTCCCCTCGAACGACCCCTTATGGCCCCTTAATGTCCCGTAATCCCCTCCATTCCCCCCCAATCGCTCCTTATCCCCTCCATTCCCCCTCCCCCTTAAGCCACCTGCCTTATACCCATGTTCTCCTCTTTCCCCGTGCCTCACACCCTTGTTCTCCTCTTTCCCCGTGCCTCACACCCATGTTCTCCTCTTTCCCCGTGCCTCACACCCTTGTTCTCCTCTTTCCTCGTGCCTCACACCCTTGTTCTCCTCTTTCCCTGTGCCTCACACCCTTGTTCTCATCTTTCCCCGTGCCTCACACCCTTGTTCTCCTCTTTCCCCGTGCCTCACACCCTTGTTCTCCTCTTTCCCCGTGCCTCACACCCTTGTTCTCCTCTTTCCCCGTGCCTCACACCCTTGTTCTCCTCTTTCCCCGTGCCTCACACCCTTGTTCTCCTCTTTCCCCGTGCCTCACACCCTTGTTCTCCTCGAATGGTCATTTGTATCAATGATCGACATGCATACAAGGGAGATGCTACAGTAAAGGTCCTACACACCTACCTCTCGCTCACACCCTTGTTCTCCTCTCCCTCCGTGCCTCATACCCTCGCTCTCCTCTCCCTCCGTGCCTCATACCCCCGCTCTCCTCTCTCTCGGTCCTTCATATCCTCGCTCTCTTCTCTCCCCATGCCTCGTACCTGCGCTCTCCTCACTCTCCGTCTGCCTCGTTCCCTTCATCCGCCCTCATCAGACACAGACCCCTGCAAGGGTTCTCCAGTTCTCCCCTATGGCACTTGTGTATGCACCGAGGCACCTGCCCCATGGGACCCGTCTATCCCCGTACCTCATACCCTCTCGCTCCTCACCTCACCCTCCATCAGCCTCACACCCTTCATCTCCCCCCCAACAGACACTTACCCTTGCAAGGGTTCTCCTGTGCTCCCCTGTGGCACTGGCGTGTGCACCAAGGCACGTGCCCCGTGGGACCCGTCTATCCTCGTGCCCTCCTGCAAGTGCCCCTTCAAACTCCCCTCCTTTGAACCCACACACCTTGCTGGCCTGCCCTCCTGCTTCCCTGGTGAGATGTGGAGTGCGATTGGGAAGCGGTGGAGTGCGATCAGTGCCATTATGCTTGCTTTGTGGATGACGTAGTTTGTCTATTTTGGCGTTGCTCTTGACGTCTGTTTTAAGGGTGTACTCTTGCTCTGTTACCACTCTTCCAATACTCCTTTTTCAACCTTTCTCCATCCTCCCCGTTCGCCTTCTCCCTTCTTCCCCTTTCTCCTCCCTTCCCGTTCCTCCTCTTTTCCACTTCCTCTGTACCCTCTTCCCCCCGTCCCCCGTCCCCTTTCCCCCCATCCCCCGTCCCCTTTCCCCCCATCCGCCGTCCCCTTTCCCCCTGTCCCCGGTCCCTTTACCCCCTGCCCTTCTTCTTCTGGTCCCCACCTTCCCCTTTCCCCCATGTCTCCTCAGCAGATTCTTGCACATTTCGCCAGCTCGCCAGCAACCCATGTGCCCCGGGGGTGTGCATCAATGCTGTGATTTTGTTCTGCTCACTCCTCCTCTCTCCCCACTCTGCTCCAACCATTCTCTTTCCCCTCCCCCCATGTCCCCTCACCAGAGACCTTCATATGTTGCCAGCTCTCCACCTACTCTGCTCCGCGCATTCTCTTTGCCCTTCCCCCCCAACCCAACCTCCCCTGTCCCCTCACCAGATTGCTTCACGTTTCGACAGCTCGCCAACATCCCATGTGCCCCGAGGGTGTGTATCAATGCTGTGCTGGTATGGTGCCCACTCCTGTGCTCCTATCACTCCCCCCCGAATCCCCCCTCACCAGATTGCTTCACATGTCGCCAGCTCTACAGCAACCCATGTGCCCTGGAGGTGTGGTATCGATGCTATGCTGATATGCTGCTCACTCACTCCTCTCTCCCCACTCTGCTCCCCGCATTCTCTTTCCACTCCCCCCCCACCCCCACCCCCCCCCCACCCCATGTCCCCTCACGAGAGACCTTCACATGTCGCCATCTTGCCAGCAACCCATGTGCCCCAGGGGTGTGCATTGATGAAATGGACGGCACCTACTCTTGCCTCTGCCCCTTGCCCTTCATCTCCTTCTATTTCTTCTCCAAAGACACTGCTCGTGACGTGTCCAAGAGGTGAAGTTGACAATGGCGTCGCTGTCAGTGGTGCCTTGGTCTGGAACGAAGTCAAGAACGAAGACATTGTTCTTCAAGACTGCCTTGCCGATGTAGAGTCCACCTTTCCCGTGATACAGTTTGAACTCCTGAGTGGTGCTGTCTGCTTCGAGATGAATTCCCTTTGCCATTAGTTGACTGGCGCTGAGTAAGTTATAACCGAGTCCTTCTGCGATCAAAACCTTCGACATTTGCATAATAACGTTGGTTTCTCGAGATTGAAGTTGAACTATCCCCTGTCGTCGTGTGTGCATGTTCTGGTTGTTGGCGATGGTGACTACGACTTCGCGCTGAAGTTGGTGTTCCCGTTGAACGAAGCGACCCGATGAGCAGATGTGTTGTCCGCAGCAGCTGTCCAAGAACCAAGTGTCTTTCCCGGACGGCTCGCTCTGGGCGATGGCTGCGTACGTCGGGTTGAGCTCCAATGATTCACGGCGAGGGGTGCTTTCGTCGAGTTGCTCTTCTCGTGAGTAGTATGGTGGCGATCCGGTGATGCAGGAGACTGTTGTTCTTGCCATGCAGCTTACGATTTTTCTTGCCCCTTGTGCAGGTTTTGTCGTCGATGTTGTTGAGGACTGTACTTGATTGGTGGGATGCGCTTGTGTAGAAGCCACTTGACTGCTTGATGGCCGAAGTTGACGTTGCGATGGCGTTGACTGCTGCTGATTCGGGCAGTGTGTGCGAGGGTGTCATGACGTCTTGCAGAGATGGCAGAAAGGTGGTACGTACTGTTGAGCTTGATGTTTGTTCAGTTGATTGTTGTTGTTGTTGAAGCGCCGTTGAGTGTGGAACGCGAACTCTGGTGCTGACGCTCTCTTCTTGTGTTGTTCTTCGTGTAGGTCCATGTCCTGCTGTTCAGCGTGGATTTCGGCGCAGAGTGCCGCTTCGGAGATCTTCCCGTGAGCTCGGAGGAGTGCTCGAGTGGAGCGCCAACGAGGACCAAAGCCAGCGATGACAATTGTCACGCTTCTTCGGATATCGATCCTCCGCATCGAAGGAGTCTGTCGCGCAGTCCACGACATCGGCTGATATACACCATCCCTTTTTCGTCGGGTTTCATTTCCACTGTTGTCAGCTGTGCCATGAGACAACTTTGATTAACACTGTCTGTTGCTTGATACAGGTTCTTCAAGTGGTCGTATGCAAGCTCGGCGGAGTTGCCGTACCCTCGATAAGACCGGATGTTCTGCTGTTCGTTCGGAGTTATGTTTCGCAGAAGAATTGTGTACGCCATCAGTGACTGATACGTGTACTGTTGCTTGTCGTACTGCGTCCCGTGCGTTGGGTATGGCAGGGACCCGTTGAAGAATCCGAGAATGTGCGCGCCTTCCATCATTAGCTCAAACTCGAATGACCAGGTATAGAAGTCATTTCCGTCAAAGGGTGTCGATGTCTGCAGTTTTAAAACATGTGCGAACTGTGATTGAACCTGAAGCGCGTCCAGTGTCTTCTATTGTCCAGGTGAAGGCTGTTGGTGTTGTGTGAAGCTGATGGAGCCACGTTGAGGTTCGTACGGGGCAAAGGTAGGTTGCTGCTGGTTTCCGGCGCGCATAGGATGAACCGTCAAGGCTCACTGGAGTAACCCTATTGTTGTTGCCGCTGTTATTTGATTGCGCAGGTGCTGCTTGCTGGTACTGCTCGTAGAAGGACATGAAGGAGAAGAATTTCTCCATCATGCTTGGGTCGAGGCCTGCTGCCTGGTTAGCAGGAGTTTCAGTAAACTCAGCTGTTGGTCTTGTCGCTGTGCCTTCTTCCGTCTGTAGGCCAGAGGCTGGGGGTGGAGTAGATGTAGTGCCGGGAGATCCGTTGGAGGAACTTCTCTCCTTCTGAGTTGCCATGCCTTGTGCTGTTGTAGGAGTTTGAGTAGTTGATCTTGCCTTGGAGGCTCTCATACCATGTTGGGCTGAGAAAAAGCCCTTAGGATCTTTTCAAGGCTAAGACCTTGGGTAGAGATGTTGTAATTGCGGAAGCGTATAGTAATATTGTCGAACCACCTTGCACTAGTGTGTGAGAGCAAGATGAATTGACTAAAGCAAAGAGATACAAGAATATATATGATTACAAGGAATACGAAGAGGTGCAACTAACTGTTTTGCTGTTGCGGTTCGATATAGTGACGACTCGGGCAACTGCTCAATACCGAGTCAGTTGTTTGTCCTTGCTTTCGCGCTGTATTTCGTCGAGTCAAAGGTCGCTGACCTTTGACCTTCGCGTAACCTCCAGCTGTTACTTTCTGTCAACCTCCTCGGTTGACTCGCCGTTGCTCCGCTGTGATTTGCCTCGTTTGTAGTCTTATTGTTTCGACACAACAGGAGGGTTAAATTGCTTGTTTCCAACACCTTTCCCCACTCCTCCCTGCCCAACTCCACCTTTGCCGTGCCAATCATCATACCCCCCTGTGTCTTCCGAAATCCCGTTCCTCTTGCTGCCGCTCCCTCCCTGCCCATTGCCCAAGTCCCCACTTGCCTTTCCCCACTCCTCCCTGCCCTGCCCAGTGCCCCGCCCAACTCCACCCTGGCCATGCCAATCACCATACCCCCCGCCCCGTGTCTTCCCGAATCCCCTTCGCCCCTCCTAACCCAAGTCTTTGTGAGCCTCCCGTCATCCCCTCCCATCGCAGCCCTAGCTCCACGCCGTACGGTACCTCTTGTCTTGTCACCATCCCAGCCCAATCCTCCCCTCCATACCTCGCGTCTGTCACCCCATCCCGGCCCAAGCCCCCCTTCCATACCTCTTGTATTGTCGTCGTCATGTCACCCCATCCCGGCCCAAGCCTCTTGTATTTGGCATTTACGCAGATGATGAGTGAATGAATATTAAGGTAGGCAGAGCATCATGCCAGCCCACAACTTATTCACTGTACAATCATATCCGTAATTAAGTTCTTTAAACATGTCAGCGCTGCGTCGATACCTCTTAGCAATCAGCAAGCCGCACGTATCGCCGCGTTTCACAGTGTATGATCGCTTGGTTGAGCATGTCAGGCCAGTGTACGGTCGAGAGTCAGTAGTAGCAACACAAACCTGTGAATCACCAAGAGTGGGGACAGAACAGAAGGGGAGAAAAACTTTTGAGGCGCCTCAGAAGTCGTTTCGTTTCACACTGTATGGCCTCTTGGTTGAGCATGTCAGGCGAGAGTAAGTAGCAGCCACACAAACCTGAGAGAGGCACCAAGAGAGGGATTAGGACGGAAGGGGGGAAAACGTTGAGGCGTCTCAAAAGTCGTTTCACACTGTATGGCCTCTTGGTTGAGCAGGTCAGGCCAGAGTACAGTCGAGAGTCGGTAGCAGCCACACAAACCTGCAAACCACCAAGAGTGGGGACCGAACGGAAGGGAAAAATCGGCCTGAATTGGTAAGGAATCGCACGAGGACCCCCCAAGATTCTTACAGCGAGTGGAGGGGACACTGCACACTCAGTCCCCCCTCCCTCCCCTCTCCTTCACCCATCCCCCCTCCCCTTCACTTCTCCCTTATCCCTTTCCCCACCACCTCCTACCGCCCTCAACCCATACACACGGGCATTCCGACTCACCTTGCTCATCATATTCCCCTGCAGGGGGCTGTAAGGCAGCAGAGCGTCGCACGAGAGGCCAGGATTCATCTGGAAGAAGCGCGTGGGGGAGGCGATGGCAAACGCCCGCCACAGCTGCTGGCAGGTCTGTGGGCCCTGCAGCACAGTCACGAGCGCCCCGTCACTCGTGTAGTTGGCTAGAGGAGGAGGTGGTTGGGGGCTGGGTGTGGCTGCGGTTGGGGTGATTTGGGCTAAGAGGTCGCATGGTAGGCGGGTTTTTCCCAGTTCTAGCCATGTTTGGTTGAAGTTTACACAGAGGAGCTGGTAAGTAGGGAAAGGGGAGGGGGGGGTAGGGGGGGAGAGGAAGTAGAGAGGAGAGAGGGGGGGGAGGATGTGTGAGTGAATAACTGCTCACACCTGCTCACACCTGCACACACCCGCTCACACCCGCTCACACCTACTCACACCCACTCACACCCACTCACACCCACTCACACCCGCTCACACCCACTCACACCCACTCACACCCACTCACCCATTCACTCACACCCATTTACAAGTTACACCTGCACCGAAGCTCACCTGGCCGGGCCTGGGCCCGTCGGAGCAGGTGAGGGCAGGGTTGAGCGGCTGTATCTGCGTGGAGAAGAGGGCATTGAGTGAGTCACACGTGTCACCCTGTGCACACATGGGGAGGGAGGGAGGGAGGATAGGGGGGAAGGGGGGAGGGAAGGATGGGGAGAGTGGGAGCAGGCAAACACAGGGACATGGGGTGAGTGGTGGTGCGATAAAGAGAGCAGAGACGAGGGTGTTAGTGCCATGGCGATTACATAAACGCTGCACTTACATAAACGCGGGCACTTACGTAATTAGCAGTGTACATGGCAGTGCATTGGGAGAAAGCCCGGCTGGTGACATTAACCAGCGTGTCTACAGGGATGGGCGCTCGGCATTGGAACCCCTGCAGTCAGAACAAGGAGAGAGGGGGGATTGGATGGGCTGGATTAATTCAATTCTTGAGACGTCTCAAAAGTTGTCTACAGGGATGGGCGCTCTGCACTGGAACCCCTGCAGTCAGAACAAGGAGAGAAGAGAAGTGGGATTGGATTGGTTGGATAGTGCATGACAAGAGCCCGGCTGGTGAGTGTTTTTTTGTGTGTTTTTTTTTTATCCAGCCAACCAGATTGCCTATTGAGTCGACTCAAAAGTCACTGTGTTGTGCTAACCCGTTCTGATCGCCTTTTGCGAAACCCGTCAAAATCCTAACCTTGTTTTGGCTAAGAAAGTCGGCCGGAGTGGGCTCGTATGTGTTGAGGATGAGCGCGCATGTGACTTTTGCGGCACCTCAAAGGCCCACCTGACTGACATGACAACCTTTGTGAAGTCCGTTAAGAGGCTAACCTTGTTTTGGCTGAAGAAGTCTGCTTGGGTGAGCCCGTATGTGTTGAGGATGAGCGGGCATGTGAGGCCGTAGGGCGACAGGAAGGTGGGCACTCAACTTGTAAACCAATCTCATAGCCCTCTGTGAAATCTGTCACAAGGCTGACCTTGTTTTGGCTGAAGAAGTCTGCTTGGGTGAGCCCGTATGTGTTGAGGATGAGCGCGCATGTGAGGCCGTAGGGCGACAGGAAGGTGGGCACTCAACTTGTAAACCAATCTCATAGCCCTCTGTGAAATCTGTCACAAGGCTGACCTTGTTTTGGCTGAAGAAGTCTGCTTGGGTGAGCCCGTATGTGTTGAGGATGAGCGCGCATGTGAGGCCGTAGGGCGACAGGAAGGTGGGCACTCAACTTGTAAACCAATCTCATAGCCCTCTGTGAAATCTGTCACAAGGCTGACCTTGTTTTGGCTGAAGAAGTCTGCTTGGGTGAGCCCGTATGTGTTGAGGATGAGCGCGCATGTGAGGCCGTAGGGCGACAGGAAGGTGGGCATCCGAACCTCGATCGATTGCACTGCATGCATGGGGTAAGCAAGAGGTAAGCATGGGGTAAGCATGGGATAATCATGGGGTAAACATGGGGTAAATATGGGGTAAAAAAGAGGTAGGCAGGTCACTGCAAGCAGCAAGGAGGAGGTGATGCTTGAATTGACTCAGATGCAGGAGCAGAAGATGCAAGGTCATCATTCAGAAGGATGGGCTGGATATCCAAGACCAATGTGAGCACTGAGCAAGCAGAGCCAACAAACCAAGCTCTGTTTAAACCAAGTTCTGTGCTGCTTAAGACTAGGGCTTTAGGCAGCAAATGTGAGCACTGAGCAAGTAGAGCCAACAAACCAAGTGCTGTGCTGCTTGAGACTCGTCCAGGCCTTTAGGCGGACAGGACCCTAAACCCTTTGAGGGCAAAGGCAGGTAGCAAGCAAGGGCAAGTGTTACGCACACTGGTAACAGCGGGCAGAGCCTTTGGGGTAGAAATAGAAGGGGAAGTAGGGCGAGGGGCAGAGGCAGGAGTAGGTGCCGTCTATGTCGTCAAGGCACACCCCCGGGGCACATGGGTTTCTGGCGAGCTGGCGACACGTGAAGGTTTCTGGTGACGGGACGATGGGGGAGGGAGGATTGGGAAAATCAGAGTGAAAAGGGGGCAGGTGTAGGAGCCATCTATGCCGTCTATACACAACATCCATGCACACCCCCGGTGCACATGGGTTGCTGGCGAGCTGGCGACACGTGAAGGTCTCTGGTGAGTGGATGGAGAGAAGGGGGGAGTAGGAAAATCAGAGGGGCAGAGGCAGGGGCAGAGGCAGGTGTGGGTGCCGTCTATGTCATCAATGCACACCCCCGGGGCACATGGGTTGCTGGCGAGCTGGCGACATGTGAAGGAATCTGGCTAAGAGAAGGGGAGAGGGGTGGGGTGAGGACGAGAATGGGAGGAGCAGAGTGGGATGGGAAGAGAACAGGAGTGAGGGAGCAGCACACCAGCACACCGTCAATGCACACCCCAGGGGCACATGGGTTGAGAAAGGAGGAGCAAGCGGAAATGAGGAGGAAGGGGATGAGCGGGAGAGGGAAAAGGTGGTGGGAGAGAAAGGAGAGGAGAGGATAAAAGGGGATATTGCAGGAGCAGCCTTAGTGGATGGGAGTGCACACTTTTGAGAAATTTCAAGAGAAAAAAAAAAAACAAATCAGGAAAAAAAGTGTGTACGATTGCATTTTCTCAAGGGTGTTGTGAATCGAGAACGAGTGCATCCCCATACAAACCAAAAGGGCACTTACCACACTCCACTAACCACACTCCACTTACCACACTCCACCTACCACACTCTACCTCTCACCTACCACACTCCACCTCTTGCCTACCGCACTCCACGTCTCACCTACCACACTCCACCTCTTGCCAACCCCACTCCACCTTTTGCCGACCGCACTCCACATCTTGCCTACCGCACTCCACACCTTGCCTACCCCACTCCACGTCTCACCAGGGAAGCAGGAGGGCAGGCCGGTAAGATGAAAAGGTTGGAAGGAGGGGAGATTGAAGGGGCACTTGCAGGAGGGCAGGAGGACAGACGGGTCCCAAGGGGCAGGTGCCTTGGTGCATGCACCCATGCCACAGGGAAGCACTGGAGAACCCTTGCAGGGGTCGGTGTCTGTTGGTTACGGTGATGAGAAGGAAGCAGAAGGAGAGCAAGGAGAGCAAGCAAGGGTGGTGAGGCAGGAGGATAGAGAGGTCCCATCTTATGGGGCAGGTGCCTTGGTGCATGCACCCATGTTACGAGGAAGCACTGGAGAGGCCTTGCAGGGGTCGATATCTGTTTGGACGGGGGGCAGATGAGAATGGGAAGTGGGGAGGGAGTTGGAGAGAGGATCCTAGCCCTAGGAAGACATGTGAAGTGTCACAAGGGAGCACCGGAGAGGCCTTGCAGGGGTCGATGTCTGTTGGGGTGGGGAATATGGACAATGAGGGAGGGAAGGTGTTGGGGGGAAGAGAGATGAGTCCCGTAAAGCAGGTGGCTTACAGGGGAGGGGGGAATACTTGACAACAAGATGGAAGACCCTTACTTCCCCCCTGGCTTTTGAGTCAACTCAGAGGTTGCCTCCCTTGCTCTCTCTCAGTGCCCTCTCTCCCACTCTCCCTGTAACTAACTCTCCCTTCCCCCCCTTGGCCCCTTCCCTTTCTCCCCACCTTCCCTTCTCTCCCCCTCCCACTGCCTTCTCACCCCTTCCTCCTCCTCTCTTCCTACCTGTGAATCGGAAGGTCCAGGAGGAGAGGGCGACGGGTGAGGCCAGGCGGCCGGGGGGGGGAGGGAGAGCAGCGCTGGTGAACCCAACGAACAACTGCCCAAAGGATGGCGACCATAGGTCCGTCACACTGCTGCCATCACCGCTGCTGCTGCTGCTGTTGCTGCTGTTGACACGGCCACTGGTAGCAGTCCCAGAGAGAGCAGCACACAGGTCAATGGTGACCTTCATTCTGCTTTTAAGAAGAGGAGGGCGGTACAATCTGATCAGCATCTCCTTGCTGCTCCCGTTATAGTCAACCCTCATCTGCCACACCTCTTCAGACTCCAAAACATCCAACACCTTCTTTGCGTAAACCGAGGTCATGTTAAAATCCATGTTAACGCCGATATGTATATCATTTATATCGCCCATTTCCGGGTTTGCTACAGTGTCCCACTCCACTGCTACACTCCGCGCGCCGTCCGGCCAGCTGCCATTAGCGAGTCGCGAGGTTGGGTTCCGGCCGTACCCCATATAAGCCCCGCCTAGGCCCAGGGTCGCATGAGTGCTTATAACGAACGCGAGTCCATGGGAGGCGGATGTATTCATGGAAAAGCCGTATAAGAAGGTGAAGGAGCGAGCCTTGCAGATTGGGGGTTCGATTGCTGTGGGTTGGGGAGGTGAGGAGGAGGAAGGAGAGGGGCGAGGGGAGCTTTTGCGTGGACGAGGAAAGGGAGGAGGGAAGGGAGGAGAGGAGGAGTAGAGGAGGGGGAGACGGCGAGGGAAGTAGATGGCTCCGGGAGAGGGTTCGTTTGATTGGTCGGTGGTAGATGCCACGTCAGCAGCAGCGACGGAGAGGTCAGCAGCGAAGAATCGCTTCCTGGTGCTGCCACGTGTCAGCAGGGGAGTGGCTGGCGTGATGTAGGGGAAGGAGAACGAGTCTGCCGCCCAAAACGAAAGCCGATCCTCCGCCGCTGGGTTTGAAAGAGAGGGAGGGGGGGGAAGGGGAGGAGTCGGGGAGGAGACGGGGAGGGAGGGGGGGATAGAGGATTGGGTGAAAGTGTGAGGTCATTTCACCAATCATGCCAAGTCATGGAGTGAAAGCACGTAACCCAAAATTACAAGAACACCATTGCGGGAATGCAACGCTGCTAACGCTGATACATATCATAATATACACGCATGCCAGAAACTTACTTACCCTGGGCCACTTGAAATTGTTGAGAAACACGAAATGATCCTACAGAAATAATAATAATAAAAAACAAAAACAGGATGAGGGCTCCTGAACTTACCCTCCCCAACTTGGAACGTCCACCCCAGCACCTCTTAAAGTCACTCAAGCAACTCAACCTGCGGTAGGTACAGCATAGACAGTTTTCTAAGCGCCTCAATCGTGCTACAGAACAGATAAAAAAAAACAAAACAAAAAAACCCAGTGAGACAAAATCACTTCACTCACTCACCCTCCCCCACTTGGAACCGCCACCCCAGCACCTCGTGTGCCTGAGCCTGCTCCGCCCCCTTGCCCGTGGCCGCTGTGAATCCCACAAACAGCGGCGGGGGGGGTGCCTCCACATCTGGGTCGTTCCCGCCGAGCCACTCGCAGGTGTCCAGGAACATGGAGAGCACAGCAGAGCGCGGGAGAGGGGGGGAAGAGGAGGAGGAGGCGGCGGATGGGGAGGAGCGAGAGGAGGGGGAGGAGGAGGAGGAGCGAGATGACCGAGGGAAGCCAGGGAAACCAGGAAAGCGAGGGGAGTAGCGATCGGGTGTGCGGGAACGGGAGGAGGAGGGGGTAGGGGAGAGCCAGACGGTGAGGTGGGAGGAGGAGGCGTTGTACTGGATGGTGGCGAGGAGGGTCTGGCCGGCGTTGAGGGAGGGAATGCCGAGGGGGTGCACGGGGGCAGAGGCGAGAGAGAGCATGCTGCCGTGCAGGTTCACCCCCACGTGGTGGTCGGGGCGGTCCCAGAACTCGGGAGAAGAGGATGTGTCAAACTCCACTGCCAGGCTCCTGTGCTGCGGGAATTGAGGGGGGGAAGCAGGAAAGGTGGGATGGGGCATTTTGAGATATTCATACGTAGAATTCCAATACGATAGCAGCTAGATAGAGCTAGGAAGCACGATTCCAAAACACCAACCAAAGATAAAAAATGTGAGCTATGGCCAAAGAAACACACATACATATGAGCGGTGGTGACTTAGTTCAAATTTTTGGCTGAATATTTAGTTGAATTTCTGTGACAGAAATTCCATAGACGAGAATTTCCGAGACCAGAAGTCTGTCGACCGACAAAATGTAAATCCCGTGCGAATTCCGTTGACTTCGACCCTTCGCTGCCAAGTTCCAATACAAACACAACCTTTGACCAGTCTCGTGAAACTGTCTCAAAATACTCTTTTCGGACAGTTGGGTCGAAAGGTCTCCAGTTCAAATCTTACTTGCACCATAGACTGCCTGTTAGCATAACTTATCCCGAATCTGTGCTGAGACACTGTACATTGAAGATCACGGCTTCAAACCCCAGCGTCGGCATTTTCTTGCTCATGGCATCTTTTCCTTCTAACAAAGAAACAATTGCAAACGCCATGACCGGTCTCGCCATGCCCAAACGCCTAATCCCTCACCATTGAGACCGAGATTCGAAACGCAAGAGGAGGTGTGCCTGAGATAAGGCTGAGATGACACGCACCTGAGATGACTCTGCACCGGTGGAGCCAGAATTATCAGCACCAGTCGTACTCCCCGGTGGCAGCAGCAGGCGGCCATACCCCAGGGAGGGCCCCGGCAGGCCGAGCGTAGGAGACGGCAGCATCACAAACGCCAAGCCCTCGCCGCCCAGCCCGGCGGCGTTGGGGGAGGAGATGCGGAAGGGGAAGGAGGTGGTGAAGGAGAAGGGGCGGCAGGGGGAGGAGGGTGTGGCGGGGGCGAGCAGGGCAAAGGGGGCGGGGTGCAGCGCGAGAGCAGCAGAGTGGAGGTCGGAGAGGGTGGTGAGGGAGAGGGAGGAGCGGTTGCGGCGCGCTGAGCCAGCTGTGAGGAGCGGGTGCGAGCTGGAGAGCGGCCAGTGTGAGAAGGACTTGAGAGGGGAGGGGTCGGCTGTAGGGGGGTGAGGGGGATAGGGTGTGGGAGGGTTTGGAGGGGAAGGAAAGGAAAAGGACTAGGGGACGATATTAGGAGCCGTAAATTGGCTGTGAGGAGCGGATGGGCGCTGGAGAGCGGCCACTGGGAGAAAGAATTAATGGGGAGGGGTCGGCTGCAAGGCGGTGGGAGTAATGGGGAGTGGAGGGGGGTGAGGGAAGGTGAAGCGGGAGGAAGGAGCACATGAGTGGGATGGGAGGTTACATGTTGGATGTTGAGCATGTGTGCAACGAATGCTTTCAATGCGCAGCGCAATGCATGCTTTCTGCCATACCTGTGACACACCTGTGACCCTGCCAATGCCAACCATTGCTGCCTCTCTCACTCACTGCGAGTGAGGATGACAGACGCAAGGAGGTCGATAGCCGTGCTCCCCACTTCCAACGCCACGCCCACTCTCGCCAACCGTCTGTCCGCTCCGCACCTACCTCCCCCTCTCACTCATCTGGGACTCTATCCCTCCATGCACCCCGCCAAACTGTCCCTCTCTCACTCACTGCTACTGGGCATGATGTTGCAAGTTGCTTTTTAGAATTCTCAGGTTGCTTTTGAGAATTCTCAAAAACAACCCCCTCTCACTCACCTGGGACTCTATCCCTCCATGCACCCCGCCAAACTGTCCCTCTCTCACTTACTGCTACTGGGCATGATAGACGCAAGGTCTATAGCAGTGGTCCCAGATTCCGACGCCACTCCCTCTCTCTTCACTCCCACCTTCGCTCCTGCTCCTGCTCCCCTTCCCGTACTCGCAGCAACAGTGAACGAGGCTGCTCCTGGCCTTGCTCCCACACCCTCTGCTGCCGCTGCCGCAGTGTGGGCTACAGACTCCGCACCAGCTGCTGCTACCCCACCAACTGCTTGCACTACGGGTGCTGCTGCTGCTGTTGCTGCTGCTGCCCCTGCTGCTGCTGCCCCTGCTACTGCTGCTCTCGTGCGACCAAAGCTCCGCAAATGACGTGGTCCCCATGTCTTTCTAAGTAAGGAGAAGGGTAGTTTGGGGAACCGGCTTAGCCTTGCCAGGGCGGATGCAGCGTGGGCAAGGTGGGGACGTGCAGCGGATCGGATTAGGAGGCCCAAGGAGGAAATGGTAAAGCCGCTGCCACCCCTGCTGTCAACAACAGCGTTGCTGCTTCTGCTGCTGGTTGTGCTGGTGCTGGTGGCGCCGATGCTACTGCTCACACAGCTGCTGCTGGCAACACCGTGGCTGGTGGCGGTGACAACAGCGCTGACGGTGGCGACGGTGGCGCTGCTGCTGCTGCTGCTGCTGCTGCTGCTGCTGCTGCTGCTGCTGCTGCTGCTGCTGCCTTGCACGGCTCGAATCACCAAATGCAACGCCACTCCCTCAAGAGGCACTACCAACGAGGAAGGGGAAGAGGCAGAGGAATCTGGGAGGTCAGGGAGGGGGAAGAGGAGGGGTCCCACTTGGAACCAAGGCAAGGCGCCGGACAAACTCGCGCTGCTCCCCCCACACGGCACGCCCACCCGCCACTCCCCCCACACCTGCTCCCCCGCTCCTCCTCCCCCCGCCCCTCCCACACCTGCTGCCCCTCCCCCTGCTGCGGCAGCGGCAGAAGCGTTCAGCGGAACTGCCAGCAGCAGCACCTTCAACAGCCGCTCCGCTTCTCCTTCCGCGCCCCTTTCCCCCTCCGCGCACAGGCTGGCGCGCGCGAAGAACGAGAGCGACAGCTGGCGCGGGGACTGCTGCTGCTGCGCCTGCTGCGACGCGTTGCTGGTCGGCGCCGCGGTTTTGAGTTCGCACAGGGCTTGCGCCACGCCTGCGCCGCCAAACGCGCTAGTAGTATCCTCGCTACTACTATTGCTGCTAGACGAGGCGGAAAAATCGGAAGTTAGCCGTAAAAAGCGGGACCCGTCAGCTGCCAGTAGGGTCTCCGCGACTCCCGTGACCCCGTTCTTGATTGACACGTCAGCAGGCGACGCCGCCGCCCCTCCTGCTGTCGCGAACGCTTCCGCCAGTGTCGCACCCGCTGGCGCGCGCATTGTTCCGCGGTTTCCGCCGCCAGTTGCGGTGGCTAAGACCTCGTCGTTTAAGAACGATTCCCCAGGTTCCAACGCGCGCCACGGGAATAAGTACGGCCATGGATCGCACGACGCGTTCAGCTTCTTGCGACGCCATCCGGTATCGAAACAGCTTGTATCGAAGCTTGGGTTCGAGAGGAGATTTGACGATTCAGCTGTGACGGCCAAAGACGCGGGGGTATAACGGAAGAGAATTGGGGATTTACAGGGTGATTGAGCGGGTGGCAAAGAAACCTATAAAGATGCAGCTTTGCCAGTTTCTGGCACGTTGGCGGCAAATCTAGGTCATGAAAGAAAAAATGGAGGGAGCGGAATATATAAAATCAGCGCGATAGTAATCCAGTTTTGAGACGTCTCAAAAGAACATTTAGGTCATGAACGAGAAAACGGGGGGAGCGGAATGCACATCAGCAAGCGACCTGAAAAGGGCTTACAATGGGAGGAGGAAGGGGATAAACATGGCTGGAGGCAAAGGAACGAGTAACATGTGGAATTCTAAATACGCCTGGAGAGGGAAGACTGTTAAAGCCGCTTCGACTCGACTACTGAGTATGATAGCGACGAAACCGTAAACGGTGGTGATACCAAGAACGGGAGAAGCGGAGCCTCTTACTTGGATTCGTTAGGTTATAGCAGTCGACGAGACCGTCAGCGACGCGAACGAAGGCTACGAGATAGAGGAGAAACGTAACCCGTCGGAATTTCGCGACACAGTGAAGGCTCGTGGCCCCTGGGTGAACCCGCAATCTGCGGCGAGAGATGCGGAAGTAATTCATCTGCTCAGACACGGTATCGGAATTACAATTCCAAGAATAAACTACGCTCTGCGATCGGTTGCATTCCGAAAGAGGCGTCCGACGTTTCGGAGCACATTCCAGACTGGCACTGCCATTCCGAATCGGCATGTCGTGGCGAGCGCATTGGGACTGTCCCACGAGAGAGAAGCTAAGGTGATCACCACCACATCCGCTACCAGAGAAACTGTTTTGTTGGGGCGTATCATTTTTGTTCGTTAGAATACGGCTCAATGAGATTCTTCACGCTGTACAGTGGTCAATTCATTTTTTTTAGATATCTTATACATTACATGAATGCAAAGACATCTGCAGTCGTAACTGTGTGGTGGTCAATTCAATGTTTAGATTGGCCGGGATGGGTATTTAGCATCATGAACTGAAAATGACCCGCCCTTGCCCATGGACGTGCTGGGAGTGGGTAGGAACATTTGGATGAAAGCTACACGTATTTCATGTCGCCAGTCAGTACCTTCCCTTCTGAAGAAGGTTCCAGTTGCACTCGGCCACTGTACACTTGGGTCCGTGAACGATGCCAGCCACATGCACATCCTTGGTTGTGTCGGTGCACCGACATTCATGGGAGGGAGGGTCGGGTGGCAGCAGCCAAGTTGCCCTGATCGACTCGTTGTCATCGCACTGAAACCACGCTAAAATCTATTGAATCTTGGGGAACCGCGATCAAACACTTTTCGAGGATGAGATGAGGGGCAATCCAATTGGATTTTTTCCCGACGTGCACCGTTTCTTCCAATGGACCTTGGGATGATGTGAAAATACGCAACAGCCAGGGCCTCAGATTCACTTTTAGGGTCGTCGACCCGTCAGGGTACCCTTGTGTAGAAACCCTGATTGACAGTGTTCCTTAAAAAAAAAAATCCTGAAATATCAGTATTGCCTTCGAAAAAAGGCCGATGCATCAGTGTTCAATAATATAAAAGGCTGTTATAATTAGCAGCCTTCCGAAACATTGCTAAGCTAACATGCCTCATGAATCATCACTAGCCGTGCTATCATCACTGCCCTTAGCCTTTGGTTCTTCTCTCTCCTCCTCAGCTTGGGACACCAGTACGTGATAGTGCTTTTTGACACACACACCCTGGCTTCACTTCTGCTTGCGACACATACACGTTGAAGCTGCAGGGGCAGGGTTGGGGGGAGGAACCGGATTGACAGGCAGGGTGAGGCAGGGAAAGTGAGAAAAGGAGGGAGAGAGGAGGGAAGACTAGCACGGTTGGGGGGGAGACGACCGGGGGAATGGACGGCGGGCGCGCGGGTCATGCGCGGGTCATGCCGTCGCGCAGCACGATGCTCTGCGCACCGCCCGCGGCGCAAATGGCCTTTCAACCGCGGTTCGTGCTGGCGACGAGGCAGCCTTCGGTCGTCGCCATTAGCACGAAAAACTACGCGTCATCGAGTCGTAGCGGGCCTACGACACCGACGGGAATTGCCATGTGGCCGACGACCATCTCGCAGCATGCACTGCGGATCGCGTCGAACGGGAGCGATGTGTTCGGCAAGACAAGAAGAGGTTCGGCGGCGCTCGCGATGGGTTCGATTCCCAACAGCCCGCCGTTTCCGGTGCTGATGGCGCCATGTATTAGTGCAGATGAGAAAGCACGAGAGGAATCGGGCTGAGAGGGAGGGAGAGAGAAACAGGAGGAAAAGTAACACGAGAGATTGGATTGGAGGGAATGGGAGCATCAATGCTTGCCAGCACAGCCAACGGTGTAGGAACCCTTGCAGCCCTCAAGCACCACATGGTTGCCACATTCCGATTAGCCAACGCTTTATTCTGGAGCGAAACTGCCCAATGGAGTGTTGGCACTGCAGGAATCTGAGATTCCCTGTAATCGCGGGCAAATCTACACGGAACAAGTAAGAATTGGTTTCAGTGTTAGTTTCGTTACAATGTTGTGGAATCAGTGTACTTGGGATAAAAAGTCTGAATTTTCAGTGTGGCCTAACAAAAAAGGCTGAAACAGTCCCACAAAAATCTCAACACTGATTTTTCAGTGTAGGTAAAAAAAGGACTGCCAAAATAAGGAATTTCAGGGTTTTTTTCCTGATATCTGAGGCCCTGGCAACAGCACATGTATGGATGTTTCCTACCTATGTGCTGCCTGGAGGTTTTGGCAAGCACTTCCATTTGCACTCGGCAAGACCATCCTTATGTATTTTATGGGTTCTGGGACACGCCACGCCAGCCTGGGGCAGACGAGGCGGTGAACGGAAGAACACCGAATGCGCTCCCCTAAGGATCAAATGTTCTGTGCAATTCTTCCACCCTCGGTTTCAAATAAGATGCGGGTAGGTACCCCAAAAACAAAACGTGTGGTAGTTTCCGATGCCGTAACACAAGATCCCCACCGAACATTTTCGGGGTTAGTGGACGGCAGGGCTTCGCTTCCATATTATTTTCGGACGGGAAATTATATAGCCAGTCACAAACACTGGCTCGATATCACGAATGGTCAGCCGGCTATCGCGAACGGTCACAGAATCTAGGATCCGGACGGCCACAAAATCTGGAATTCTATCACGAGTAGTCACAACGTTGCCCCACAACTCTATCACGTATGGTCACATAATGAAACGCTCTATGGAAAGATGAAATTACACGAGTAACTGTAGAGATTCAAGGAAAGGTATATTGTGCGAGAAAAAACTGTTACCTCCGAAATAAGTTCGTGACCACTTTCGCAAACACGTTCAAAGCAGGAAACAATTGTTTTTTTCCCGCAACAAATTTACATCCGCAGCGAGTCGCGAATCAAAGCCTAAACACAGCATAATCATTTTTTTTTTTGCATAATTATAACCGTCCACAATTGTGGACTTTCTGTCAGAATGTTATACTGCTTACATTTGTGTAGGCTATAGTGGGGTAGCCCATAAGGGGTACAACCCAATTAGGGTTAGTACTTGTACCCAACTTCTGTTCAATGCATTCATTCTTGTTCGTTAGTTTGACATGGTTTCAAAGTAGGACCTTCGTTAGGACCGATTTTTTTTGGGCCCACCACAGCGGTGCCCCACTAGCCGCCCTGCTGGCTCATGCGCCGCCCCTAGCGATCCTCGTGCCGCACCTGCTGCCTAGCGCGCCGCCCTCGTGCGGCCTGCCAATCGACCCTAGGCCCCGGCCCGTCGCCCCTAGGCCCGTCGCCCCTAGGCCCCGGCCCGTCGCCCGTCGCCCGTCGCCCCTCGGCCAGTCGCCCCTAGCCCTAGCCCGTCGCCCGTCGCCCTAGGCCCCGGCCCGTCGCCCGTCGCCCCTAGGCCCCGGCCCGTCGCCCGTCGCCGCTAGCCCTGGCCCGTTACCCGTCGCCCCTAGGCGCGTCGCCCCTAGGCCTGGCCCGTCGCCCGTCGCCCCTAGGCCCCGGCCTGTCGCCCGTCGCCCGTAGCCCCGGCCCGTTGCCCGTCGCCCCTAGGCCCGGCTCGTCGCCCGTCGCCCCTAGGCCCCGGCCCGTCGCCCGTCGCCCCTAGGCCCCGGCCCATCGCCCGTCGCCCCTAGGCCCCGGCCCGTCGCCCGTCGCCGCTAGCCCCGGCCCGTTGCCCGTCGCCCCTAGGCCCGTCGCCACTAGGCCTGGCCCGTCGCCCGTCGCCCCTAGGCCCCGGCCTGTCGCCCGTCGCCCGTAGCCCCGGCCCGTTGCCCGTCGCCCCTAGGCCCGACCCGTCGCCCGTCGCCCCTAGGCCCGACCCGTCGCCCGTCGCCCCTAGGCCCCGGCCCGTCGCCCGTCGCCCCTAGGCCCCGGCCCGTCGCCCGTCGCCCCTAGGCCCCGGCCCGTCGCCTGTCGCCCCTAGGCCCCGGCCCGTCGCCCGTCGGCCCTAGGCCCGTCGCCCCTAGCCGCGGCCCGTCGCCCCTAGGCCCCGGCCCGTCGCCCGTCGCCTCTAGGCCCGTCACCCCTAGCCCCGGCCCGTCGCCCATTGCCCCTAGGCCCCGGCCCGTCGCCCGTCGCCCCGCGCCCGTTGCCCCTAGGCCCCGGCCCGCCCGTCGACCCCAGGCCGCGGCGTGCCGCCCTCTGCAGCCCCGCGCTTCGCCCCTGCAGCCCTGCATGCCCCCCCCCCCCCCTTGCGGCCCGCTCTCTGCCCCTCCAGCCCGCAAGCCGCCCCTGCAGCCCCGCGCGCCGCCCCTTGCGGCCCTCTCGCTGCCCCTAGCCCCCTAGCCGC